ATGCATTTTGATTAAAACCAACAGAATTTTTGGTTGTTATGATAAATTCAAGATTTGACAACTAGAACTATATTATATTATACTATATTATATTGTAATATATCGTATCGTATTATAAAAATTTGTTTAAAACTTTTCAGATGAATTTATTATCTGTTGTTTAGACAGACATAACGTTATCAAAATTTTGATTAACGTTAACCTTAACGTACTCTAACAGTTCGATAATTGTGCTATTCGACGCCGATTGGGCGAACATGCGATTGTTATATGTCATGTGTCTTGTATCCTGTAACAAAAAAGTGAAACGAAGTGATATGTGCCATGGATACAGACGTTAAAACGTCTTTTCTTCTCCTTCAATGTAATTTTGAGTAGTGTAAAGAAGTTATTTCAATAGGTTAATTCGAATTTCTGTATGTTATATTGCTTTGTAAGTATCTGATAGCACATAGATAATGCATATTGTTTCACGTAAGATGCGCATTATTTCAATCATGCTTGTTTACATTTGATGCACAACAAAGATAAATAATGCATCATGGCTGTGTTCTAAAATATACTGCCAGTACTGAAAATCTATACGTCACGTGCACTATAGATTTTCAGTACTGGCAGTAAATTTATAAAACAGCCTATGCATGAAATGGAATATACCCATATTTAACAGGAAAATATTATACGATCAATACAAAATTCTACATGTATACAGGGTGACTAATGAAAAGTCGAACCAGCGATGGACGAACACAAAATAAATGCTTTTATTTCCCAAAAGATTCAGAATTTTTAAATAAATGGTTTGAGGCTTGTAAAATTATTAAATAATATATATAAATTATTAAATGAGATATACAATATTTTTTACAAAATATACACTTTATACCGTAGAAAAATTGAAAGTCGAGCTTTTACGACAGATTTTTTATTGGTCATGCCATCTTATATGCGCCATATAGGTAATACCTAATACATCACCTTGTCTAAAGGCCATGGCATATAAAAAACTTAAAACGTAAGAATTAAACAGTAAGCGAATCGACCAATCATAATAGAGACCGTAAAACCGAAGCCTTAATTCCGCCATGGAGCGGCCATTCCATATTTTTAAGCACTTATTGGCGTTGCAACGCTATTGTGTCGCTTGATATGTTGCTATATCAAAATCTTTTTAATACATGCCTATTGAGTATCAAATTTGTAATATTACAACAGTAGTTACGTTGCGTTTTATAAGTACGGAAAAATTTCGATGTGCAGTTGAAATGACTACAAGTATAGTATATATGTATATATATATATATATAATGTACGTATATATAATATATATAAATTCATTTTTGGATCCATTCAAAACATCAAAGATCCAGCTTCGATCATTATAACATTTATTCCCTATTGGTGTTTCAATAAATTATATTATAAAAATAATTTTACGCATTTTATTTTACGAAAAACATTATATTCTGTGCATTAACTTCTATATACATATAAATTTATCAAAATTATCAGCTTCAATTCGACTAGAAACGTGTCGTAGACAATATCGTAAATAAAAAGCATCCATTAAACACCTATGAACTTAGTATAAAAACATAATATTATTATAAGTATAGTCACGTTCATGTAATAATAATATATACGTATGAGTAAAAATTTCGCGAAAAAAAGCAATCTAATCTAGATTATCTGCGTGTTTTATTCCGTCGCTCAATATTTTATAGTTGATACGCTATACATATTTTATCCTCCAATGTACGTAGCTTAGAATGCAATTCTCACAAAATTTCTAGAGGATCCGCAAAAACAAACTCTTTCTGAAATATTTACGAAAAATATTAAAACGCATTTGTGTTTCGTGCCTTACTAATTCAAATAGTCGACGACTCGGGAACTATGACAGAGACGCTACAATCAGCGCTGGCACCATTATTGACCATTGACTCATTCTGGAATTTGTTCTTGTTTAAATACCCTCTTAGACAAACTAGGCCATATCTTTCTTGTCTATATGTTTTGGCTACATAGAGCTTTATTACGTATTCCATTTATTATGCATTTTACATTGGGCACCCACCCTTTCGAATACCGTTATTGTTATGGATTATGTTGATCTCCGCAATTACAACGATACTTGTTAACTTCTTTCGCTTCAAGGTAAAAATTTTAACACGTACTAATAATCCCTAATATTGATTTTTTTAATTTCTTAATTTACTTTGTTTAATCATTTATTTTATTGAGAGCACTTAAGACGTTTTGATCTCACGATTATAGGCAAATACAAATTTATAAAAAGTTTTTGAACTCATCAATTTCAATATTTATATTATTATTACTTACTGTAGACGAAATATGTTTTGTAAAATTAATATTTGTCTTTATATTGCTTTCCTAAATCAGCTTTTAACATAACTTTTTTAAATTTTATGTTTCAAATACTAATCAAATTTCGATATTTCTTTTATCTATCATATTTCCGATAACAATTGAGGGGATCGGCGGTATAAAGGCCTAATTAAAAAATCTTGATTTTGATAAAAATTAAAATAACTTGTTACATTTTATTATACCACAAATAGGAACAGTATTAAATGTATGTTTATATAACGTCTTTAAGAAATTATATGTTATGATATTTCGCTATTATGATCAATATTTAAAAAGTTATTTGCAATTTAAAAAATGCACTTACAATTAGTCCCTTTTTTTGACTATTGATCTTAATATTGTAAGAATCGACAGAAAGAAGAGACTATGAACTGCAGAAATGTTTTTTATTTTCACATTCTTTTAGAAGAAATACAAAATGAATATGAAATACATTTTACTTTTACTTGTACAAAATAAATTTTTCTTTTATTTTTACAAAAAAAAATTGAAATAATGCTCAATTATCATCTAACAAGTTTTCGTAAGATTTTTTGACATAAATATGTTGTAATGAAAACACATTATTGTCGATACCATTTTCGTTCAGTCTCTGGTAAAAATCTCATTAATGATTTTAAATCATTTATGCCCTTATTTCATAAATTATATCATTTTCACTATCACAGGACAATCGAAACACGTTCATATTTAATTAATGTAATCAATTCCTTGTTTATTTACGCTAATCTCCGGAAAAAGAGCCTAAGTAGAATTGTGCCTTTATTCCGCCAATCCCCTCAATTGTTATATTGCAATAACAATTTTTATTCATGTATAAAACTATAATAATTTAATTAAATTAATAATAATTTATTTTTATGTCGCATAATCGATCAATATGATTTTTTTAAAGGAATTGAAAAGGTGTTTATATGAACTTTCAATAATAGACGATTCATTGGATGCACTCGGAGCATCAAAGAAATACCAACGGCTGCGTAACTGGATAATTCGAATAATAATCGGATGGTATTATTTTTTCATACAATTTAATAATATTATCTCTTTTTCCCAATGTATATTTCGGTTTATATTGCTTATATGTACGGTATGTGTCATACGGCTATCCAGGATATGTCAATATCTTAAGTGCTCTAATTTGGGGAAATATCATCAGGTTATATACATACGTATCCATTTACTTCGTAATCTACTTTTTATTGACAGTATTGCTTCAAAATGTTTACGGTCTCTGTGAGAAATTCTTAAAAATCTTTTAAAACTATTTAAATTCTTTAAGATACTTTATATAATTTTAAATAACATTTATTAGCATTAGCAAATATGTAAAATATGTTATAAGATGACTTAAATGGAAAAATAATAAAATTTTTTATTGTTATACACGTACGACAAATACATAAAAAATATATTAAATTACAAAAAATTACAATAAATAACGAAATTCTAGTTTAGACTGACTTTAATTATTTATTAACGCAATTGAAATATGTATATACATCTTAATACATATGTATATCTTAATTTTAATAAAAGACAAATAATTTCTTTCCTTCAGTTCAGATACATAAGCTCCAGATTTGATGAAGTCAATGATCGTTTGCATGTACTTTATTCCGATCTTTTTGAAAATAATGCAGACTGTAAAAGACAAAACAAATGTCTTTTAGTGCGTCAACGGATAACTGGAGCTAAGAATCGCAAGCATTACACATGGATTATAATGTAATTGTTTAAAGGAATTACTGTGTATGTACATCCAAAAATGTATGCTTTTTAAAAAACTTGTACATATATCTTATGTATAATAAAATGCAAGCGTATTGCTTCTCAACTTTTAGTTTTATTTTTAACCTATTCATAACTCAACTCATACTTTTTATTTTCTGAACAGAATTGCTTATAATGGCTTATAATGGCTCATTTGTAGTATGTAAGAAAATATAATACGGGACTATAATATTCCAGACAGCACACAATATTTACCTAAGTAAAAAATACTTATTAGAAATATTTATTTATATTTATCATAAATATTGCATAAAATATTTAGTCTATATTTTAATAATATTTCGAATAAAGCTTTATATAAAATATGTATGAAATATCTATATAAGATTTCAAAAAATGAATATTAATAAATATTTTTCATAAATATTCTGTGCTATCTAGGATATGTATAATGTTCTGAAATTATAAATTATATATCATTATATTTAGCCTTTATTCCACTATTTTTACTCATTTGTAGTACAAGTAGATATTTTTGATTATAGATAACGTAGGCAATTGACGTGTCGAAAAATTATATTAATAATTTTATACATATTCTCATTATAACAGATATCTCATCAAGAACTATCAGTTGGAACCATGGTTGACTTTTATATTCTTGCCGTGCGATGCGGCCTTTCGGATTAAAAAATAAATAATTTTATAAATAATTTTATAAATAATTTGAAGAAAGAAATCATAAAAATTATATTATATTTATATATTGATAAATTAAAATCTATATTAATATATTAATATATTTTATATTTTTTTCATGTGCATGGAACTGGTGCACACGGTGCAATAAGTGCAAGAAGTGTGTACCATGATCATTGATCATCAGTTGAGTAAATTGTCAGTAGCCGTCAATAATGTCAGACAACGTCAGACGCATAGCTGTTATGATTTAGAACCGAATAAGCATGTCGTCGGACGAGGAGAATGACGAACTGCAAGACCTGGAGGCGATACGCGACAAGGTTCTTAGCAGCCCACACAGCAAGCGTATGCAAGTGAGCGCCTGGGAAGACGACGATGATGGTGTGGAAGCAGAACGTAATGCAAGAGGTTAGGATTCTGACCGGCTTCAAATTCAAAAACTAATTGCATCCGTGATAATTGAAGGAAATAAAACTATGTATCTGTAATTTCAAAACATTTTCTATTAAAAAACTTTCTGTCAAATTAATTTCGTGTCTTTATCTATACTTTTCCTTTTTCCTCCAGAACCTGACGCAAAGGCCATGTTGAGCGCTGCCGAGAAGGGAAACCTGGAAAATATTAAGAATTTATTGAGTAAAAACCATCACTTACTCAACTGTACCGATAAGGATGGCTATACTCCGCTTCACAGGGCATGTTATGGCAACAATGTGGAAGTGGTGGAGGTAAGTTTAAGACAATTATTTCCTTCCCTTAGTATTTATAAAATTATCTATTAAGTAATTCTGGCTCTGTTCCAACAGTATCTACTTGAAGCAGGGGCTAGAATAGACGCTAAAACTCAAGACGAATGGCAACCTCTACATTCTGCATGCTGTTGGAATAACATAGAATGCGCCGAAGCCTTAATCTCAAACGGAGCACATGTTAATGCAACAAGCAAAGGAGATCAAACACCTTTACATTTGGTTTCCGCTAGTTCATACAATTCCTCTGCTCTCCAGCTTCTTCTTTTGCATCCTGACACGAATCCCTACCTGGTTAACTCAAGTGGAGACACGGCAGATCAGATCGCGAGAAGGACTACCAAAAACTATCCTATGTTTGAAATAATTGAGCCCTGCTTAAATGAGATTTAAAGTAAGCAGTTAAATATTTGTGTTGAATAAACAAGATACCAGTATATCTTATTGCAATAAAGATTTATTTGATATACATATATACATATATTTGCATAGAAATATCAGCAGGAGGAATGCAAACATTGGAAAAATGAGTAGTTTACACAAACGTTTCTTTGTTGCTGTGTTTTATGTTATTCTATAAAAATTTATGTATATAAATTACATTATTGAACAACGAGATATACAATCTATATGAATACATATGATCCAATATAAAAGTTTATATAAAAATATAATAGAGGATATATATAATTACGAGTGTAATTGTTATATCGGGAGAGTCTATTAGAATAATACTTCACATTGTTCATTTTTTCTTCAATACATGTCATGATGACTATGACTGTGGATAAAAAAAGATCAGCGCGGTTAATCGAAATAAACATATTAATTTTTAAGTAATAACAGAATGACAAAACTGAAAAATTACATCAATAAATCATATTAAGAAAGGACATGAAAAAACTACACGTTAGGATAAACATTGCAAGTGTAATATAAAACATAAAGTCATGTTTGTACTTCCAATCAAAATCTCTTTCTCGATATATAAGTTGTTTTCTCAGTTCGTCCATTTGGTTCTGTACGGTTTTTAAATTATTTGAACAATGAGTCTACAGATCAGTATGATGTTAAATTGACAAATTTCGGAGTACCGTTGCTGAGACGCTTAGATCCTTCCCAAATGAGAACGGTGAAGTCTTCCGTGACTGCGTATAAATGGTGCTGATCCAGAGACCACGCTACAGCGATTATTGCACCGCAACCTCTAACGTTATTCGAAATTTCTCTGACTAACTGCAGATCCCAACTGCTCCATAATCTACATCACCAAAAACACTTTCAATAATTGTTCGTAGATTTAAAATAATTAAATAACATTTTCATCGTACCTTATTATTCCGTTGTCTAAACCAGTTGCGATAACATTGACAGAAATACCCTCCGGTGCGTTACTGTAACAAAGTGCCGTTACACATTGTTTGGATAAAATGGAGCCCACAGCCCTCGCATTTATAGTGTACACTGTCAACTCAGACTGATTGTTGATCGCGTTGTCCTCTGATCTAGGAATGTCATAAGTAGCGGCTACATCCCCGAGTGTTTCGCTAATACACAGGAGATGTATAGCATAACCTTGTTCACAGATTATTGATCTCACGTATGTTAAGCTGTTCCAAAATAAAAATACACAGATATGAACTCATATAAATATATAACTTCTTCTTTCTATGCTTAAATATGTAAAATTTATTTTTCTACCATATACCTATTTAAATCCCAAATAATAATGACGCTACTGCCATCGCCGGAACAGGCAATGCTAAATGTACGTGATAGAGATATCACTGTCACCCGATTGTTATGAGCTAGAAGTACTGTCGCAGATGTTGAACTGAATTCGATTTTACCCGCAGTCCCTATAGTATATGCGTGCACTGTGATTCTGCCTGATAAATGTCCAATCCAAAGTTGTCCGCAATCAGGAGTAGATGCCAACGTCGTAATCTAAAAAACAATTGGATATTGTATATTAAATGTTTTATTTTAGAAGAAATAATATTTTAACATATATATATATAATCTTGCAATATTAAGTTTTCTTCTTTTATTACTATTTAATTCTTGAGCCTTATTAATTATGAAATGTGTGTTAAGACACTTACGGGATCAAGACCTGAAGATTTAATTAAAGGCCTTGGCGGTTGTTCTTTCTTACATTTTAATCTAGCGATTCCATCTGTGCTGCTCCATGACGCTAATGCAACACCCAATACAGACATACCGCTTAACATGCTGCTGCCTGATAACACAAAAGAGGTTTTCATTCTAGATTTAAAGCTTTGAGTTTTATAAAAAAAAATTACGGTATACAATAATTGCGATATAAATCAATAACCTTTTTCTTTGGTATAACCAAGGAGAAGCGTGGTGTAATTAGGCAATCCAAAAACGTCACCAGTTGCCAAAGGAACTAGAGAAGCTAATGGAGTTTTGTGCTTAAGTTTCCAACACAATATAGGCTCATTACTAGGTGCACCCACATAATTTCCCCATTTTATACCTGTGATTGCATCAGACAGTTGCAACATTTAATGTTTAATGAATTTAATACATATATTTGAATTATCGCTAATATAGATTGACAGTTTAAATCACAGAAAGCTACAAGGAAGATAATTACCACTAATCCCTTCAATAACCTGCGGTATTTGATTAGATAACGTTATGTTGCCGAGATTTTGAATCATTGGATGAGAAGCTCTGAATAGTTGCGCAGGCGTTTGACCATACGTTCGTACCATGGTTTCCCAGGCCTGACGTTCTAAAGGATCGGTTATCTGTTCTACGTCGAATCCATAATAAGTCTAAATATAAAGAATGAACTATTAATATTTAATTGTTCAAAGCTATGCTGTGATAACGTAAGAACACGTACTGCGGGATGAAAAACATTTATGGCCTCTATCGCCGGTCTTCCTGTCTGTCTGAATCCAAAGACGAGATCGATCCAGTATGGCAATACTTCTCTTACGATGTCTGATTCCAGCGCGGCTCTATGTGCCAATATAAATAGACGCGCGTCGTCGCCGCACCATTTCGGTAATTCAACATCTCCAACTGCATTACCATTTTGTCGAACACCGAAATTGAATCCTGCAATATATACGAATTTACATTAACTTATGTGAGCGTTATTTTTCTCAATAGTAATTGCAATATACTCGGATTTACCTTCGAAGTTTAATAAAAATTCGGGTAAATAGAAAAATTCTGGTATCAGTTCCTTCACGTCTGTTGTTGAATCACAACTAGTTAATCTCCATGTGGTAGCTAACGCATGGAATGTTCGATCAGGAATATCAAAATTATTATCTAAAAATAAAAACAAGTTTATAAAAATAATTAATTTTTCAATGAATGTCATTGTAAAAGAATAATTTTTTGTAACTACCTTGATAACAAAGAAACATGCTAGTAAACGGTGGAAGCCGTACCAAAAAGTGTAATACAGTTCCAGAATTACTATAATGAGAGCCATAATGGAATGGTCCTTGATTTAAGGCAATTAAATTTAATCCTTCTGTTAAAGTTTGTTTCAAGTACTGTATAAAAATAAATTTATTAGTGATGCAACAAAAAACAATAATAATAATTATTTTTAATAGCTTACATTATAATTATTTATGTAATGTTGTTCATTCTTTTTATCTTGCACAGCCATCGGTCGTTTGAAATTCCTGTAAAATATATAAGTATATTTGTATACGTTCGAGAATGTACACGCCGCATATTTTTCGATCATTTACCGATAAATTTTCGGATTGTTCAAGTCAATCTTCTCACTGACATAGTCTGCTAAAACAAACGGGAATACGGGATACTGCATTAAATCATTATATGAACGACCTGCCAATTTATTCAAGCAAGTTATGTATTCCCAATTGGTGAGCGCGCCACTTCTCCATAAAGCTAGAGCCTCTCCTAAGTCATCGCCGGGGATTCGCCTGGGTAAATTGCAAGAGGATAATTCCGTTGCAAACTCGTCCCTTTCCTTGGACGAATTGAACGCTAACAGATATGTTCTGCCAGTAATGAGAAAGATTTCGATGGCCCTCTCTTGCAATTGGTATCTTCTTCTGTGCAATTCTCGAATATCCTCGAGACGCCAAACAGTACCACCAGCCACAGCCAAATCGAAACCACCCAATGCTATCTGTAATTAACAAAATATTAAGAAGTTTTATCAATTAATTGTGAAATTGTAATTATAAAAATTAAAGGGATGACTCACGTCCGTATGTAATGGCGTATCGGGATTATCCGGAACGAAATACACGCACGTCTCGCTTATGAGGACTTCTCCGGCTAATTCAGCCCTAGGTGTAACAACTTTTGCCTGAGACATCTTACGTATTTTCTCACTCGTATGTAACCGTTCGATCAGAGTCGCGGTATTAGAGTCTTCACGAACACTCGTAAATAAGTATGATAATGGCATCTCGATATTAGAAGACGCTATAAAATATAAAATTTTAAATTAAAATGTGAATTTTTCTAATTTATTAAATTTTTCCTTGCATGTGTTAAATGTTAATTAGGAGATTGCATTCACTTGAGACAATCTCTAAATGCTTTCTATAATATTGATTTTGATCTGTAAATATACCTAATTTATCTTGATATTCAGGTAAAAGAAATCTCTCGTCAATATTCAAGTGACATCTCTGAAGTCTTATTCTGACTCTCGCAGGACCTTCAGTTGGATCTAATTCCCAATTTTTTGGGTAGCTCTCGGAAAAATGCCATGGCGCCCGTTCGTGGGTTAGTCGTTTGGCTATGTCTCTCCATCTAGCAACTGCCTGAGCTTCTAATGCTCGCGAGTGTTTCAACTGTTCCATCAATACCTTACGCTCGCGATTTTGTTCCTCCACAACCGAACGCGTTATAGTCATGGCGCTTTCGGTTAATTGCTTCGCCAGCGCATCGAATCTCTTGCCAATTCTAGTATAAAATTACATATCGTTTTATTAATTTTTTAACAAAATATACGCTAACTTTCAGAATAAATATGCGTTTACCTTAAAATGGCAGGATAATTGTCGATACAAATGTTCTGATCTGGATGCACATCTCGACGTAATACAGCTAATTCATCATTCCATACTTCAGGATTAGCTTGTTCAATCCCTTTGGCGAGGTTCCATACATGCAGGGCTTCTCTCAACTCTGCACATACCCTAGCATCGGCACTCGGCATTTCATCCCGTTTTTGCAATAGATCCCAAAAGAACACAGTAAACTTTTGCTCCAGCTAGACATAAATTTCGATTTTATCGGATTGAAACAAAAGTTCGTAGCGCTACGAACTTTTGTTTCAATATATAAGCAGTTGATTGGCAAATTAAAAGTTATAAGTGAAACAATAATATGGAGAGACAATAGTAAATCGTTTCAAGAACTCATATTTCAATATAGATAGAAAATTTTACACTTTAATGTATAAAATGGGGAGACATATTACATAAATTAATATAAATACCTGTGGGTGAACTTCCAAAATACACGACAAGATTTCACGAGCTCTCGGTTCTTCCATTAGAGATCTGATGGCATATATTCTCGTATTGATACTCTGGTGTGGCTCTAGCAGCCACACCATAATTCTAGCCGTATACTTTCTCAAAGCTGATTTGACGGACCACGTATTGCTCCAGTGATTTTTTTTCTCCAGAGGATTGCATAGCCCATGCAGAAGAATAGAAAACAGCCTTCTCGTTAGTTGCAATTCATTGATGGATGGTGATGCGTCAGCGGCCATTATAAATTCAACGGCACGTGTCACAATAATACGAAAACGATCATTCAGTTCTCCCTTGCTAGGTTCGCGCAGTACAGGAGGCGAATTTGTGTGGAGGTTCGCATAACTAGACGAACGAGATCCATGATCGCTCTGCTCACTGGACGTCGTGAGAACTGGAAGAAATTTTTTATGTGTAAATACACAAGCGCCGGAAACTTTCGCGCGCTGTAATTACCTGAAGTAAAGTAAGACGCTGAAGCCAAGTAGGAAGCCGTGCTACGTAGACGGAATCCCGAAGAAGGATTCGACATTTTAGTTGTGAGTACATCCAACTCTCCGTCGAATAATGCTACTTGAGCGTCTCTTACGACTGTGCAAGTCAAACTTGCGCGATATCGTAACTTCTCCGATAATTCCATGTAATCGAGTATCAAGTGTAGATCTAGTACCGCTTGCATCTGATGAATTCCCGGTAATTCTAGAAGCTTGGTCGCTATTGCCACGAACAGTACGTGGATGTCTCGATGAAGGGACGTCGAGGTACCTTTATGCACGGCTGCAACCAAAGCTTGTGCCAATGACTCAATCAAACCTTGCTCCAAAAGTACCTTTAATGCATTTGTATTCTGAAAGAATGACAATTAATTTATATGAACATATGTCAGATTCGTTATCGTGTTTTCCATTTCCAATACCTTTGCTATTATGTCAGTGATAAATGATATTATTGGTCTGGCTACGTTCGAATCAGAACCTGCGACCTTTGCAATCATTGCCATTAACGGTGGCATTGCCGCCAATGTTGGACCTCGTAGAGCTAAATTTTCTAAAGCGACAATCAATGATTCGCTTCCGGGATATAAAGCTATCTGATTTCCTAAATGCATGAAATATTTGTGTTTTATAAATTTATTAACTTCCTCATCGCTAGCGCGTTGTAGATAGGTTTGTACCACCTATAAAATACCACGAGATACTGATGAAACATTTTATTCGCTTCGGGTCTTAATAGAAATGTTATACGGCATATATTGCATTAAGAAATTATTTACCTTGATCAATGCTGTGCGTACACGAGTATCGGGATCATTAGCTAAAACTAATAGCAATTCAGCTCTTAAAACATGCTTCAACACTAATCCAACTTGACAATCTGGTAACACTCTTACAGCATCTCTCAATAGTAACAACAGCCCCTCGCAGACTAAACCCTGACACGCTCTCCTTTCATCCGCGTATGTTGACTGCCTGTCCTAAATACATAATAATGCAAGATTCGAATAAGTAATATGTAAAATTATATTATATAAAGATTTTACATTTTTTTTTCATTATACATACATTGCTTAGAGGATTGGATCCATCACTACCTGCAATTCCGGAATCTTCTCCAGCACTAGTGTTATCTGATAATAGCACATTTTTACGCTCTTTTTTTTTAGGACTTCGCGATTTTTGAATCTAGGAAAGCGAACAATTGAAATATTGTAATATTCATGTAATGTTTGCAATCAAAGAAATTTTTATTGCAAAAGTCATACCTGTTCATTTGTCAATGCCTTGTTTAGTTTACTGTTCTCCACCATGCCTATCAAATCATCAGAAATGACATTATCATTCCTTTTCGAATTCATATCTTTCTCCTTGAGTTGCGGCAACATAAAATAGATATTGTGTCGCGAATGAGTGACATAAGTCTCCGAGGCTTGATGAATGAGAACCAGGTAATCAGTGATGGCGACTAAGTGAGCAAATTCCGGCGGTGCACCCATTAAGGCACGCATCAATTCTACAATAGCGATTCCGGTATTCGAGCTCAATATGGTACTTTCTTCTTCATGTATTTCGTACATGAAATGTTCCTACAAAAGATAAGAGATGTTACTAAAAAATATATAAATTGATGTAATTTTATAATATGTAGACGTTTTAATGTATAGATTGTTTTATTTACCTTACACAAGGTAAGAATCGTATCCACGATACCGACCCTGTTTAACTGTGATGCATTGAATTCACGATGCGAGTGTTGATCTCGCAATAAAAGTAGTAACGCTTGTAACAGTAAATTTAATGTATCATATTTCATCCACGCTCTCCATGCGGTAAGTGCGCCTTTGATCAGTCCCGGATCTGTGATAACAGCTTCGCAATTTGGTGAGATTGAATGATTACCGCTGCCGATATCTTTGATGATGATCGAACTATCGCATGCCGCATCCAGCATCGCCTTCAGAATGTGTCTACCTGTGTGACACCTAGACGATTCTAGAACACGCAGAATAAGTGACGTTCCGCCATCCGATCGATATTGATTCAGAAGTTCTGAATCGCTACGAACAAGATGCAGGATTATGGACAGAGCCAAAGCTTGTTCTTCTTCGGTGGAGTTTAATTCGACCACCTACAAAGATTCATGAATGTTTAGGAGAGACATATGCAGAGATGCTTTGATTATTTCTTTTTTAATTAATTTCAAAAAGTATTTACTCTTGCAAAAAGATATAAAAATACTGGTACACCGCCTACTAAAATCGTCGCAGGCACAAGACCTCGATATTGCTGACTTTCTAAACGAGTAGACGTAATTGGAGATATCGATAGAGGCGGTTGTTGAGATACTCTGTGTTCCGGGACCGAAACGACTTTAAAACCTGGTTGGCCCAGGAAAATACTTCTTACAATAACTATAAAAATTATGGCAACAATAATAATATACAATAAAATAAAGTACATAATTCATAATACAATAAAATGTTAATATTATATCATAAGTAACTTACCAGCAGGATTAGCGACAGCTTGAGGATACAAATGTAAGATACTGGGGTTTTGAGCCTCGTAACTGAGAAGTAAATTATCTTGCAGCTCGCCAAGATGCGAGTTTGTCGCGTCCATAACGGCCTCCCAATCGATTTTCGATTCTAATACTACCGTTTGGACAGCACGCCTCAAATAAGTACCGCCATAAGACTTTCGTCGGCTTAAATCAAATTTACCACCTTCTACAATGTATTAAAGTAGGTATTAAAAATTCATATACAATGTTAAACTGTTTAGTGTATAGTTACACATTCATGATTACTATATTAAAAATAATGCATTGCTACCGTATTTTACTTCGCGAATACCATTCAATGCGCCAGATGCAATAAGAGGTGCAAAATCAGGTTTTGTCGTATTTAAAATACAATCTGCCAAGTTGGTGTAATTTGGTCCGAGACCTGCCAAATATAATGCACGCTCTTTCGTAAATACTGGACATCTACGAATAACAATCATTTGAGGCATATAGATGATTCTATTGTATATAAATTACTTAAGTGTTGAATAATAAAATAATGTACCTAAAAACCATTAAATTTCCGAGATACCATGCGCCAATATTGCTCGATCCGACTTGACCTAACAAAATACACGTAGTACCAGGCTTTCTCACTAGTAAACCGTCAAACGGTAATTGAACATTAATTTCTTTCCAACCGTTTATCCAGAGCGTAACTTCAACCACAGCACTACGCTTATTCAAGACAGTATCTTTAATGTTTAAGGCCAAGTGATGCCAGCATCCCGAAGGAAGCATGCCGTTTATCGAAGTTTCGGAGATCGTTCGATTTATCTTATCGTCCGGTCGAGTAAGTCGTAAGATTAATTTATCTAAATGATAAAATCAATATCAGCATGAGCTTTCACTTATAATTAACAAATGTTAAGAGTGACTCACCTGATTTGAGATCGAGCCAAGTTTCCAAAACCAGCGATTCGAATCCAATGGATATTAAATGTACTATTGACGTTGGCGTGGATGTTGATACAGAACCTGCTATGATTAGAAAAAAAATTTGACATCGATATTTTTTTAATAATTTTATAAATGCATCAGAATAAGAAATAAAACGTATTGTTACAAGTAAATGAAACGACTCTCATGTCTTAATGATCCAAATATTAGGAATAATAAACATAATCGTTTTACATAATTAGTGACTGTTTCTTTTCTATACTAACCATCACGACTCCAGTCGTCAGAAAGGATACCCCAGTCTGACAGACTCTCACTATCCGAATCAAGTAATGGGGAAGTATTGTGGGTAGTCACACGTCCGCCAACTAGTAACCCTCTTTCTATCCTTAACCACATGGAAGCAGAGCAACCGTGTAACCACACTGACCAAACAAGTTCCGGCCCGATGGGCAGACACGTTGCATGTACGGACCATGGACTGCAAATTCCCGCAGCAAGATGCTTCTTTTTGAAATTATTCATGAGGTTCTCAGCCTTTTCCAGATTCTTATGTTCCTCCGTCTGGATTTTCAGCGATGTTTTTGTGTTGTATGGCACAGGGAATGACAGGATGAAATTCGGCTGAGGTCGTGCGGTCAGCACCAAGTGATATAATGGCTCCAGCAACGGCAACAGAGGCGGTTTCTTCACTTTGAAAAACGACAAATACGCGACTAATTCCGTCGGCGAAATTGATTGTGTCGCTAATAGTGTAAAAACTTCCAGTGCCGCGTGCTGCAAGTCTATAAAAATTCTCTATACAGTGTGCTAATATTTTATGAATATATTAATACATTTCCCATGTTAAACTACCTCGATATCGTGGATCGTTATTCGTAAATACATTCTTAAAACCATTCAATATCTTCATAATAGTTCCCGAGGCCGCGAGAGCAGCACAACTTGAGGCACTTTCTCGACAAGTAATAGTGATTCTCCGCAATCCACTAGTTATTATCGATCCTCTTTCTAAATCTAAACCTCTGTAAAAAAAGAGTTTATAAAGTAAAATATTATAATGCGCATTAATGTTTGTATATTCGTAAAAGTGTTCAGGACTTACTGTTCACTGAAATGAATTAAAAGGTCTATTGCCAAGGAACATAAAGCAGGATGAGCATTGGCGTGACCTCTTGACTCTATTACAGGTCCAAGGAGATTGCTGCTTTTTTTCGGAATGCTGTTATTAGTATTTTTTCCAGGCACTTCAATATCAGCTTCATATCCATCGTCAGCAGTTACGTACTCGCCAGTACTACTATCTTCCGCGCCGTAATCCGGTAGAGTCTCCAACGACATGGTTGGAAGCTGTAATAAAATAGTTGCACTAATAAATTAATAAATATTTATAATTCTTAATTTTTAACAATTAATGTAAAGTTTTAAATTTACATTAATTATTAATTTAATTATGATCGACGTACTCTGGGACGCGGTTGCTGCTGTATACTGTTTTCCTGTGCTGGCTTCAGCATAGAGATCTTCAACACCGCGTCCACTATCACAGCTATTCCACGACCAAGCATTATTCCGGTATTCATCAGAGTTTTCCTTAATTCCATGACTATATCACAATCATCTACACCATAGAATATTCATTACACAAAATCGGCAAGAGCAATGGAATAAATTTCAATGAAGCGAATGACTAATATAATTCCATGTGTAATTAGATAACGTCACGATCAACTGAGATTTTAAGAATGACGTTGATCATCTGCCTACGATCCTCAAACTGTTTTTCTGACGAGTAAACGCAAAACATCTTCGGATTATAACGCCGCAGCTGCATGAGCGACTGATATATAGGGTGAACAATTTCAAACGTAATGGTCTAAAGATCTCGAATAAACAAGATATGGAAAATCGTTTTAGACAAAAGTTATACGACCTGACAGGGAGGGCACAAATAAAATTAATTTTTACAAAATCAATTTTTCACGATCATATGAAGATTATCTCCATTTTTTAATGGAATTATATAATTTCTTTAATTATTCTACATATAAAAGGATTAAAGTAAAAAGATATCGAAAAATTAATAGTTTTCGAATTATTTTATGCTTTATTCTGGCACGCGTATTGATATAAAATATAAAATACCTTGTAAATTATTAATTTGTTGATAATCGTATTTTAATACTTTTACGCACAGAATAACGAGATGAATCAATTAATGTAAAAAAAATACATGCCGATTAAAAAAATTATGCGTTTTGCTATATGCAGCTACATATTTCTTTTTAAGCAACTGTGTATTTTGTTTGCACTAATTGATTCATTCTGTACATAAAAGCATTAAGATTATTATAAAAAAATTTAATGGTTTACTAGATATTCTATCATATGTTTCATGTCAAAATGTGCTAAATAAAGTATAAAATATCTCATAAACTATTGATTTTTCAATATATTTCTACAGTACTTTTATGTGCAGAATAAATAGAATAATCGTATTATATGTAAAAAAATCATATATTTCATCTTTAAAAAATGGCGATGACTTCATGACCTCAAAAAATTTATTTTTTTCGAAAATTATTTTATCATTATGTGCGTCCTCTCAAGCCATACTTTTATCTGAAACATTTTTCCGTATCTTCTACATTTTTCAAAATATTTGGCCTATTACGTTTGAAATTTTTCACCCTGTATGCGTATATACATACGTAACCAAGGTGTGATATGCGCTTCATTAATCGCATTTGTAACATAACATACACTTACACAACGGAGATATCAGACAGCATGTAATCAAGGCTTCGAAAAGCTTATGCGCCGATTTATCTAAAAAAAAAAAAAATTACGGTACGATTTATTAATAATTTTTAATAATTTTTTAATACAAATTTTTCAGATATTATTACTCCACGTACCTTCAATACTGTCCGTAGCGATGGCCACAGTTAATAATTTGAACAAATGCAACGATTTTCTAGATACTGGATGTGCTGACAGTTCAGTCCGGAACTTCGGGCTGCACAGTGCTACTCCTGCAGCAGCCCTCCACGCTGCGCTAGCCTGATGCAGGCTAAATTTGTTATCCGATGTATCTCCATCGGTGCGCAGTTCAATAGTTTCCTCTATAGGAAAGTGAAACCTCTCGAGTGAATTCGAATTTGCTATGACATCTATCGTATCAGTCTTGTTCTCTAATTGTTCGCAGTGAATATCACTTTCAGGCAGTTGCGATAAAAATGTATCATCGAGATCTTCAACCGTCGTTTCAGCGATCTCCGTTTTCAAATTTTTGAGAATAGGTGACTCAACTTCTTGATTATCAGAATGCATATTAAGTGCATCCTTCTCACCTTGCTGGTCCGCTTTTTCTCCCATTCTCAGTTCCTTAAGACACTGTAAGCTGACGAACAATCCGTTCGTCTCTCTATCAAGAGTTTCAAAAAGGAACTTCGTCGCCGGTACCTCGGTGCTTTCTGTATTGTCAGGTTCCTTGCAAATCTTCCAGATTTCTACAGTCACGGTGACTTCCAGAAGAGCATAGACACTCCTAGTGAACGCTACGTCCGTTATCAGAGACAGTATCTCGTGCAGTCCATTTATCTCCATGAATTTCTCGCACATCTTCAGGTTCACGATTAAACACGATATAACGGACATACAGGATTGCAAAAGAAACCTCGCAGTTGCGTTGTCTTTATCGATCATGTAATACGCCTTGGCGCGCAGGAAAGTCGGGTAGAAAGTGCTGAAAAGAAGTTGCTCCCTGACGTGAAACCGGGAACAGGGTGTGACTTTTAGCAGATGCGCCATGACGACGTAACATAGTTTCGGATCGTCAGGGCACAGCAAATCGACATATAACTCTAGAAAATCCCATGAGTAATTAGCCGGTTTATCACAAGTGTCGCATGCGTCCGTCAACGAATACGCGCCCAGTTCTCTAAACAGAGTACGCTCCAAGAACGCCATGGCCGGAGCGTATGTCGAGGAGTCGCGTTTTCTAAGACAGGCGATGACGCTCGAGACGAGTATCTTCGGCGGGAAGCAACAGCATGTACCCGCGGCGGTGATTATCCCAATCAGTCTCACCTGCAACTCCCTCGTGAATAAATGAGATTCCTTCAGTAAACTCGTGAGTGTCGCGAATAACGAGGAAATACAACAAACTTGTTTATCAGCTATACCAACGATCGGTTGAGAGTACGGTGCTCCGAGCACATCCGAATGATGATGACTCTGAACGTGATCGATGCAGGATTTGTGTTTGGTTCTGTGGCATTGCGTGGTGTGTGAAAGATCACGACGAACGCTCTTCAATCCGCTGGTCAGTGCACCTATTATGTCGATTATCTTTTTGGCCCGTACTATCGACTTCACCGGATCAATACTTGGTAGATCGACGATCGCGAACACTGTTCTTTCAACGAGCCTGCCATCCTGACTCTCGACGAAGAGTCGGAACAATTCGAGGAAGTCCGACAACTTGTCGACATTGCTACTACGCTGGTGCAACAGGCAATAGAGGAACGTGACGATCCCATAGATGGTGGCGAAGATAAATTCCTGCAGCAACGAACCTTCCTCCGGTTCCAACACGTTTACTGGCTTGCTGCAAGCATTCTCTAGCAATCTCAGAGTCATTGGTAACAGACCATTGTGAATCACCGCTGTAGTAGGTTCATCAGCTCGCAAAACACGTTCCAGAGCCGTTAACATCAGCCTGGCAGCGGCAGCCTTCAGGGTCGCACATTCTGTACCATTCAAACGGTTACCGTCTATACCGAATTGCAGCGACCACAGCGTATCCAGAGCGAATTTTAGAACCTGCACGGCTGGCGTTTGCTCAGCGGGTGTATCGTAGTCACGCAAGCCTTGCAGC